TCGTGTTTAGCACCTTGCGAACACGTTACAGGTATGCGTATTCGGTTAATTGCTTTGTTTTATCTTTTGTTTTAAGTATCGCTTTGATACTTGGTTTGTTTTAAGTATCGTTTGATACTTGGTTTTCTTTTATATTTTGTTTTAAGTATCGCTTTGATACTTGGTTTGTTTTAAGTATCGTTTGATACTTGGTTTTGTTTTATGTTTTGTTTTAAGTATCGCTTTGATACTCAAGGAGTTTTACCAAAGTGTATCGATTGATACCTTTGATTAGTTTCGTTCTTGCTAGAAATGAACAGATTTGTTTATTTAAAGACCACCTGTTTCTACGATAGAAAAGGCAGACTTCGACAGACAGTATTTCAATATACTTGGTTGAACGGTTACTTCTTTGTTCCTCAGTACACCCTCGAAGCCTCCTTTAGTTCTCAGCTCTCGCCTACTCTCGGGAAGAGCAGGCGACCTGCCAACTATCGTATCTATAACCGATAACGTGATTAGCTCCTTGCGAACACGTTACAATGCCAGAGCTAAGCGAGCTCCTATTCGCAAGATGGGACTACTGGGCGAGCACAAAGAACTACCCCATCAAGCAGACAAGAGACAAGCGATGCCAAAGCAGGAGAGAATGGAAGAGTTAACCATGCCCCTAGGCAGGAACCATCAAGGAGGCAGAGGGGAGTCGGGGGGGCCCATGATAGCAGACATGGTGTTGCCAAACTATGTGGGAGGAAAATAGGAGCAATGGAGCGTGGCTGGACTGGACTCCCTAGACTATACTATTTATACAAACACCTCACCCAACTATAATCCTGTTTGACTCATACCTTCATGTTACCATATCCTATGACTTACAATTATGAGTCATGTAAGATCTTCAGTTGACTCATATGAGTCAACTGTGCAACATACCTAAACCAATCACAATCCTTATAACAAGCCATGTGTGCTAACTACATCATATGTGTAACATTCGTGACTCATAAGTATGAGTTATGTACAAGGGCCATAATATCATATGACTTACAAGTCCAAGTCTTGTGAAAATCTTTGTTCTACCTCTTGAATCTGCCTTGTCACAATCTGGTTTGTGACACTGCATTATATATGACAGTTAGATTTGTCAGTGGGTTATGAGAAGGTCTATTTAAGGAGATAGGTTTATCCTTAGAGATCGATCTCCATGCAACCCCCTGAGCTATTTCCTAACATGTATCTTTATAAGTACTATTCCATATTTACGCCTCATATATTTCACTTATGGCAAACTAACAATGGATATATTGCATAATTGTTACTGTTACAGTACTTAAGAAAATAAGAACATTTTCTTAAGTAATTGGAGACAACTATGCGATGGTTACTATATTAAAAAAAAGTAGAGTTATAATGCATATTACCTCTATGACAAGACCTGTTTCCTCTTTCAAGAAATATATCTTGAAATTAATTGAAGAGTAATCCTAACAGGTATTTCAATATTTATATCCTGTGTCTGAGAATTCATGAACTACTACTAACTACTATACAACTAAGTATTTTTCTCCAATCTATACATAACAGTTCTCAATCCTAATACTTGTGAACTCTGTTTGACCCTGAATTCTTTCACACCATTGTCATACACTTCAATAGTGAAATGTTTATCATCAGATGGTATATATTTGTCTTCCAACCAACAGTCTTTGATTTATAGAATCAAATAGACCTCTTTTTAATACTCTAGTTTATGTGACTATTGCTCCAATAGTCTTTTCAGATTACACAAAATGGCCAGCTTATATGTCAGGCATCTATATATCATGTAAGCTCAATAGACAGTATGCCAACACTTCATATCTGCTCTCTATTAAGGCATTTAACTTTGAGCAACTTCTCCTTAGTCTGCCTCACCTCCAAGGGAATCACCTTTAGAGTGATCCTCTTTCCACAACCAACCAATATACAGTGGCTTTCAGATAAGTATTGGTATTATTTATATCTCCTCTAGCCTCTAGGGCATTGTAGGTATTATTGCAGATTATTTCAAGGAAGAAAAATAAAATCAAAAAAAAAAACCCCCATTCTATTAATTTTGGCCCATAATTTGGATGTCTAACTTTGAAGCCTGGTTACTCAATACACCTCTGATGGACTTTCTCCATTCCACTTCCCAGAGGTATCTGGAGGTTCTCTCTTATATATCCTCTGAACAGCTTGCAGTTGGAAGTATGGTAGTGATATATATGGTATTATGAAGTAGGATTCATTGAGATGACATCATTGTTATGAGATACGACTTTTCGGAATCCGGCCAAGGACTTCTGGAATTCATAGGGGGCCCAGAGGGTGGTATTTGCGCCTCCGATAAATGAAGGTCTGTGCTCTCCCGTATGCCTAATATATTATATACAGAAAAAAGAAAAAAGAAGAGAGAACTAATAAATACAAGAATAGAGTAAAAGAAAGTATCTCAACTATGCAGCAGGACCTAGATATATACAGCCAGATTTCCCTCCACTTCCAACTGATAGCATCTATGTTTGAATAAATAAAAATTACTATAGACCTAAAGGAAAACCATTAGCTGAAACCTGTGGGGAGTCAGGGTGGAGGATTGGGTGTTCTTATAAGTCCTATACAGTTGGCTATAAACTTTAAATTCTTCCATATCGCGCGAGGACAAAAATAGCTTGCAATGCAACAAAGACTGTTGATTGGTTGATTTGAATGAAGTATATGCTTGTGCTGGGGTTGTGGTTCACATGAGTACGAGTAACTCTGCAGCTTAACATCACTCCACGGCTTATGTAGTGGCCTTTTTCAGTATCACACAAAGTCGCCATATTTCCTTTAGTAGAGTAAGAATGTTTGCGTGACACTATGGAACGATGGCATAGGAACAGACACCAAGCCATGTTGAGCTGTCAGACACTCCTCCAGATCGCCCAGCCACAACCTTGGCACGAGTTGTGGGTGGTCGGCTTCTGTGTCGGCAATTATTTGTGGCGTCTTTGTACGATAGTCTCAGTAGAGTTGGTGGTGCTCGTAGCGAGGCGCGGCAGTTTAGGTGTGGCACGATGGTTAGGCAGCAACAAGTTATCCACAAATGCGGGTAGCTCTCAAGATTGATGTTTCTTTACCCACACATTTCCTGATAAGCTCACTCTAAAAGCAAGGCAAAATCTGAAGATCTAAAGAGGCAGGAGTTGGAGTGGCATTCACCCCATTCACTATTTGTGACTCGATAGGCACCTTTTTCTTGAATTTTCATACTGGGACAATTTATTATTCCTTGAATGACTATGATACCGGTAGACTACTATGCTAGCCATAACCACCTCACCCGTCCGTCTTCTTTGCATCCGTTTATTCCGAGGAGTTGGACCAAACTCCATCTACGTCACACGTATCCTGCCGCGCCGCGCCTCGCTGGGGGCACTCTAGGTCTAGCCTTTAATCATATCCGCCATAGGCTGTACCGGTAGTTTGTAGCGCTGACATGTATGTGCTTGAGGGGGATACACGAACCAGCCAAAAATATTCATACCAATACAATGTCTCGTTTACTTGGGCGCTAAGCAGAGCTTAGCAGACTGATGATTTGCTGCCACCGCTGAGTCCCAACTAGGACAACGACAGCGGTAATTGCGGCTCTGCGGGCCGCACGATTGCTAGTTGTACTTGTACTGTACTAGTACGGTACTGTACTCGTAGAGTGGATGTAAATTAGGTTGCTACTATCGGATACTTGACATAGTCTACTTGTAAGAGTACTCGTACAAGTACTAGTACTCGGTTAAGTGAGAATCCTTGCTATTATCCTCCGGTGCACACCCCCTGTTCAGCAAGACGAGAACACAGCTGGCCTCAATTCCCCTATGAGTACAGTACTCGTAGAGTTCCCGGGATGTCCCCTATCGCCATTCCCTGCCGTGCTTCTCCAAATGACACCGTGAAAACTGAAAGGATGGGAACCTCGGGGAACCTCGCTAGGAGGTCAGAGCCTACCCTCCAAGCGAGGTCTGTTTTCTTTTTCCTCTTCCCCTTTTTTTCCTTTTTCTTACGAAGGGCGGAGAAGGGATCTTCGCCGTCCCCTACCGTATGGTACGAGTACTCCTATCCCGCAGGAGATACCAGATACAACTAATCTCATTCGCGATTATTCAAGCTTATGGGGTACGTATCGGAGCCGATCCTCACCCCATCCTAGATCAGATACCCGGGTGCAAAGGCTCTAGGCGCTGACCCCAAGCCATGAGGCGGGTGTCACTTGAAGTGCAGTTCCGATTGAATGGGGGTACCGGGAGGTAGCTTCCGTAATATAACCCGCTTAGACTTCTACTCGCGACCGGACTACGTTTGGGAACACGGCAACTATTGCATGGCTGAGTACTGTTTTGGCTAGAGGACAGCAGGTCGGTACAGCTAGAATAAGTTTATAATTATCATGAAAACCGGGATCCAAGAAGAAGAGTTAAACTCTGGGGTCGGCAATATTAGCCGTGTTCAAGAGCGTCTTTTAATTATGTGTACGACCGGATGCACTCGCAGTTCATTTCGGGAACGACACTTCTTAGTTGAGAAGCCGCCCCCATATGCATGTGCTCTGATGTGACATTCCGTGAGCAAAATTCTGGCAAAAACAAATACTGTATCTAATTTGACGGGGGCACAGCCCACTTGTAGTGCCAAATATAATAAATTTTCTAACTGGAGGGAATAACCAATTAGAGCCTCATAGTCTTGTGCTATGTAGCACAGTGGTTTTCAGCTTCCAGACACATAAAACCCTTACTAAAAGCCGTAGCGATTCCTAGTTTTCTGTTGTTCTCCCGATATTTGAACCTCCAATTGCGGTAGCGCCCTCAGTTTCATTGGATTCTCTTGGGGAGTATAAGTTAGATGGCCAAACGTTTGAATAGGTAGCTCTAATATTCTTTCAGATGGGATCAGAGGCTGATACAAGAGTAGCACACAAATCACGGCCGACAGATAAGCAATCTTGGTATCTACGAACCATGGCTTTAACCGCGTCAAAGCTTCGAGCCTCGATCGTAATTTTCCTAGCGTTGACACCCCGAGCACTAGCAGCCGACGGTGTTGACTTCTCGAACAATTTGTTCTCCGACCTAGCCCCTGTGCTGGCTCTGTTTGGGGAGCAAGTCTCCAAACAGTTTCTGTCTCAGTCCTTGACCTGGCTGGAGGATGTGATATTCGCCATGGCACCATTGGGTATCGTAACGGCGATAGTAAGCGCAGTACGAGCCGGTGGGCCGGGCTGGCTTAAGGCAGTTGTCGGAAGGGCTAGGGAAAGCAGGGCGGTGGCAGAGGTGGAGCTCATGTCCTCTACTTCGCACGAGGTGTGTGAACTTTGGAATGGGGAGGCTATTGTTCGGGTCATGGGTTCCACAAAGTTTGCCGAGATTCTTTATTTCCAGGATGGAGCGGATGGAAAGGGTGGATCCAAGTTTTTTACACTCGAGGCGGCTAAAGAAAATGGAATCTTGATAAACGCTAAAAAAAGGAGGGAGGATCGCCCAACCCATGGCGAGGGGACCGTATTCGCGGGACTGGGTCTGCCCGACAGGATACTCTCCACTTTCAGGGGCCCCTTCGTACGTTTGGATCCTGAGGGTGCGTATACTAGAAACGCCACTGCCGGAAGGGAATACGAGCTTAGAAGGAGGCACCAGAGGGCTGCACCGACACATGCCACCCCAACAAGAGATACTGATCCTATCAGCACCCCAAACATATCGTTGAACATCTGTGGAGCCAGAGGACAGGGAGAGTTATGGGTATTTGCTATTCTAGGAATTGTGCTTCAGTTTGGTTGCTTAATCTTTATCGGAGTCACCCGCTATCACCCCAAGCTAAATTGGAAGGAGGAGAAAAATTCGAAATACGCCTATCCCCTTATGGCATCCGGCACTCTGCTTTTAGTTGTAGGGATGATGGCGTGTTCGCGCGTAGTGCAGGCATCATCCGAAGAAGATATATGGGTGTCCAAGAGGAGCTTTAGGATTCTATGGCTGCAAAAGGGTGATCGGGTTAATGATCAGCTCTTCAAGTCATATGCGCTATTTGGGGACAAGGAACGCGAGGAACTTGTCACATCTCGCCGTAGACCTCACTCATCCCCGCGGACCTCAAGTCGTACTAAGCATGTCATTGATGTCATTCTCTCACTTAGTACTCTGACTATCGCTGGGGCGTTCATCGGTATTGCTGGCTTCGTCGTCCAATTTGTCGGAATTCGTGCTCTGCATTGGTCAGCCTCCATCGCACAGTTGGTTGTAACATTGACAATGACCACTGTGAGAACCTGGATTCGTCGAAAAATGTCTAAGCGGCCGAAAGCCATGAAGCTACCGGTTGATGATGAGATCGATTGGGTTGCAGTGAGGATTGGGGCGTCCCAAGATGCGCTTTGGAAGCCCAAACCCAATGGGCCGGAAGGTGCTCGCGACAGTGATCCTACCTGGGAGGTAATAACCCTCCATGGGTATCTCGGATATAAGGGTGCTTATGCGGGGCATATCGCGCCTATAGGAGAAGCACAAGCGATCCTTGGCTTGCGAAAGGACCTCGGAGATCTCATGAGCTGGGATGAGATCTCTTATTCCTTTGCGTCGAAACTAGTCGAGTGCCTTCAATCTTTGCTATTCTATTTTATAGACTCGGGGGAAATAGCCCTTGCCAAGACCGTCACACGTCCCGCCGTTCTTCACTGGGCACTGCCGGTCAAAGTCGGTGGGACAGTGCAGTATATAACCATGACTGCCTCAAGGGGGAGTTCGTTCCAATGGAATGTGGATACATCTGAGCTCTGCGCCGTGATCTCCCTCTGGTGTTATGGAGTTAAGTCGAAGGACATTCAAAATACCTACAAGTACTGGAGTTATAGGGCTGACCCTGAGACGGTCTTACGAGTGCTTGGGCCGGCAACTCACCGATTCGTTAGTGACTGCGAGCGGTGGATGGATAGGGGGGGGAGGTTTGCGGTGGTGGAGAATGCCCGACTATGGGAGAATACAATTGAAGGTCGAGCGACAGAAGTCAACGCGCAGGAGCTCTCCAAGATAATTACACGTGTGAGGGACCATACCGATCATACCACCGATCCCAGTCCCCCGACCGATGATATTGCACCCTATCGTATTACGGGGACCAAGCCAATTAACATCGACGGATGCTATAAATCCCTCGCTTTCGTATCTACGGCCCCGCTTAAACAAATGTGTGCTCAAGAGATATTATCTTCGTTGTTGTGGGCGATTGTTGGTATTGTTGGCTCAGTTCCTGACGATACTCAATCCCGAAGCGCAACTCCCTCAGGGGATCATGAAAGCGAGGTTGACGAACAGCCCGATCCCACTCCCGAAAACCCTTTTCTCCAAGAGCTAGCCGAAATAATCACAAATTCGGGGGTAACCAGTAACATCCAGGATGCATATGCACTCATAATTCCACCTTTTGCTGCCGCTGATAAGCTTCCTCGCAGACCTTCCGATGGGTTTACCCAGGACGAAATTGAGTCGATCCGACCCCAACCCACGAGTGATACCAATCTACCGTCGTTATGATATACCATACCAGTTCGGGCTTTCGCTTACTTTACTTTACCTTACTATACCTCGCCTATTGTCTTATGGCTTTTATTCCGTTTTCCCAAATTTCTTTTGCCCCGTCTTGTTATCTAGTGTGATCCCAAAAGCGATGTCAGAATGAGACATTTCGCGGCTAAGAGTAATGATCAAGTCATGAACCTACGAGTACCGTACCGCAGCAGTCACTACTAGTTGGAAGGGTGAGCGGTGGTCTTGGCATCGAGTATTTCGATCTTCCAAGTGGTGGTGTCACATTCGCTATAGTTGTAGAGCACTGGGGTTTAATTTGAAGTCTCAATTTATTCGTCCTAATTGCCAATCTCGGCCAATCTAACTACGCCAGCATCGCCGCCACAGCACGCACCGCCGACAGCCAGCCAACATAAAAAGAGGAGGGGGGGGGAATCGGGAAGGAAAGGGTCACTCTTTTTTGTTAAATCCGTGGTCGGATTTAAGGTATCATACATGACTAGAACGTTCCGGGGGTATGACTATTGCGTTCTGATTACACCCCCCCTTGATTTGGACTAGCAATGCTTTCCTTCCCTCGACGGGCTCTTGAAAGCCATATTGTGTTCGGGGTATGCCTGCTACCTCAGTGGTGCTTCCCTCGAATTACGAAATGCCCCCAAAGTTGTCATTATCCGATGCAGAAAATGAAGACCAGGATCCGATTCCCGAGCAGAAGACATACCCGCAAATTCAAACATCGGGATTTCCACCCGGCTCATTCATTCTTGCTTCGGTTTTCGGGATAGATACAAGTATGAGCTGGGATGCGATCGCGAAACATCACTCACGCCGAACCCTCAGTCCCCCACTATCAAGCATCTTCCCCTCTTGTCCTCCACAATCACCCATAGCCCGCCGTCTGGATCAGAGACGGTTAAACAGCCATGAGCAGGCAGCTACATGCCTCCCAGTCCCGCCCTGGCCCTTGGATGTCCCCACACCGGGCTGGTGAGGCCTCGGATAATCGGGAACCATTCCGGAACCTTCCTTTTCCATCTCCACTCCCTTCAGCTCCGCCAGGATTGCCAATGATGCATCGTTGTTCTCGGGCTGTTGGGGTGGAAGCAAGAGGGGATTTATCAAGTGATAGATTACTGGAGCGGGCCCCTGAGACGAGTTGTGCAATGTCATACGGTACGCGAGATGATAGATGCTGTCTCGGACCCACCAGTTGTCCATCTAGGTTTGTGACTTCTATTCAGACACTTCCCTCATCTTGTATTTATTGTTTGGTTTGGGGTTGGGGGCGGTTGATTTGGCACTCTACTCTGGGTTCAATGTTTGTTCATGCGGAGGTGGTTGTGGATGCTAACATAGAGAGGCAAGTATGGGCGGTAGGGGATGAGGGTAGAAGTGGTCTCATAGAGGTTTGTATATGAAAAATGTGGGGTTAAATTTTGCAATGCGGTCTTGCTTACATGACGTTCCCGAAGGGGGTTCTGCAGTCCCATAATATTGTATTTGAGCTATCGAATGATGGACCCATAGTATGGCAACTTAGGGGTCTACGATAGTGTGACAATGAGAGGAATTGTTGAAATTGCCTCCTTAGGTTACGTGCATACAGATGATGCCAAACCATCTGGTTGGTTTGGAGCGATTTCAAGATATGTCGGGCCGCACCCCGGCCACTGGATTCTCAATCGTGCCCGAAACTTGAGAGGAGGAACTGTGCCCCCTGCGCTTGGATTCTTTGGCTGGTGGGGGGTACCATACCCGGAAAGCGCTGGGGTTGGCAAAAGTCGGGTCCGCCATCAAGAGCTGTTGGATCTCTGTAGATCGAACAGGGTTGGAAAATTCGAGTGATGGCTGGTGAGTATTGTGTGGTGGTTAATAACAGCAGAATACGGAACATCCTGTATCGGACAGAATGCCGCCAAGAATTCCGCCTCCACCGAACCAGCTTTCAATCTTACGAGTACTCATTGTGCCAATAGCTGCGCCATGGGATAGGTACAGTACTGATCGCGAACTCGTTCACCTATGCTAGTAGCCTTCCACCCGTCCCTGGTCTCTAATCACACCTCGCGCTTCTTGCAACCTCTCTTCCCTTGCCGTTCCGATCGCCATTTGGGCAGCCAATGTCCCACCGCCAACAACACAATGTGTGGGATCGCCTGATAGCATAGTTATCCCACCGTGGAAAAGGGTGGTTCGGGTTGTGATCCGGAAAAATGTGTTCAACTATTTCCGTGCTCTCTTCTCCTATAGCGTGAGCTATTTGTTTGCTTTCTTTATTCTTCCTCTATTTGTGTTGTAGCTTTCCCCCCCTTCCTTTCCATTTTGTTCTGTTCTGTTTTTTTGTTTTCCCTTGGTTTTTCGTCCGGCGTGCCTTGGTTATTACTTGTATCTGAAGAGTGCCTGTAAAGGAGTTTGCTTTTTCACTGTTGGGTTGGAAAATCACAAAAGACACATCGGCAAGACATGGGTGTGCTAAGATGTCGACGCCAAGAATTGACGCCTCTTTTACGATAGTCGCGGGCAACTGATACCAAGTACTGTATGATAGAACAGCGGGGTGCTGTGATGCATAATTGATCAGGTTTCCAAAGCGGGATATGCGGGTCCAAAGTTGACCCTCATATGACAGGCCAATATATCCGAGTGATCATTCATGACGGCGGATAGAACAGTCTGATGTGATCATGGCAGCAGGCTGTGAACAATCAGATCCGATACGGAGAGCTTATCATATATATTTGATAATCGGCCATCCGGGATACCGCAAGCAAATAAACGAGCAAAGCTAGAACCCTTAATCTGAACATCCTCTCCTCACCCCCGAATACTCGCACCTTATGATAATTATCCACCCACGCGCTACCCACTCTTTTCCCCTTGGGCTCTGGCTCCGAGGAGCCGGTGTTGGGGACAGCAATTTTCTCGCAAGAGCTGATTGGTTGCTTTAATCAACAACGAAAAACGAGCTCCTCTAAACGGCTAAGTGAGGAGTAGAAAAAATTGCGAAGCAACAAAAATGCCAAACAAAAATAAATCAGACCAGCAGTCACCTTACAGAGCCTGGATTACTATCGACAAGACAAGGCTTTGGAAAAGAGGGGGGGCTCTGCTCCCATTAACCACTCTTACTCGCTCTGTCGGTCAACACTACCAACTAGACTTAGCGGAAAAGACAGTAGCATATATCAATCACTGCGGGAACATCCCCCTAAGTTCAACAGTTCACCTCATATATCCACGAAACTTCTCCTTTCCTCCACGCGCCTCTAGGTTAATAAAAAAAAACTGGCTTTACAGAAATCCTTAACAGTTTCATGAATAACAACAACATTATCCTAAAAATAGTTAAGTTTGTCTTTCAATAATCATGAATCAGGAGTTCCTACGAGTTGCAATCTGCCAACCCTCCCTGTGAGTGTGCCCAGACGGCAGGGATCGGTGGCTTCATCTGTTCTTGGCGCGTGATCAGGTGGAGCTCCGGCGTCTTCTGTGCAGTATTTCCTCGTATAACTATTAAATAGCACCGCGCATCTAAAACTTACTTGGGTGATATTCCGAATCCAACAAACGGCTCGGGGAAGCTGAAGACCGCTATGTTGTCCCCCTCGTAGAGCAGGCATCTTGATAGGTCACATTCCCGGTCATTTGGTAAGAGTTATTTATGGTTGGTGGATTGTGGTTGGTATCATAGTTGGCGGCTGTGGGGGGTTTGTGGTTGTAGGGCGGATGGGAGGTAGGATCTTGTTTGTTACCACAGCAGGAAGGAGTTAGGTAGGATATGGATATGCTGGCATGTGAATACCAAGAATTGACCCTTTTTACGATAGCGGCCACAAAGCGATACGAAGTACTATATGATTGAACTGTGTAGTGTTGTGATGCAGAATTTATCTGGCTTACAAAGCACCCCATGTGAGTCCAAAATAGACCATCATGTGACAGGCTAATACATCCGAGTAATCCCTCATGACGGCGGGAACAATAGCCTCAATCGATTACTGTAGCACCCTATGAATAAGGTCTTATACAAAAAGGCAAAAACCATATTGTATATATGATATTATGATGCTTGAAATAAATAAGTACAGCTAAAACGAAAAATTCAAACCCATTCACCACACGCGCATTATAATATAATCATCCACTCCCGCGCTACCCACTTTTTTTTTTTGCCCAAGGCTCTGGTTCCCAGGAAGCATTGTTGTGTCTAGTGGCACCCCTGCGAGAGCTAACCAGCCGTCTCAAACAACAAGGTAAAAAAACGGACAACCAAACAGGTAGGAAGTGTTTTGCTGCAATAATTTGATCGCAAAATCGTGATTTAGGATATTTTATAGGCAACTATAACTTAGATTGTTCCACAAAATGCAAGCAGGTATGGGATTAGTAATGGTGTCAGTTTTTCTGTTAGAGTTGTCAAGACCAAATATGAAATCACTATGTCAGAATCGAATTATAGCACACAAATACCGCCTACATCACGGGCGGCAAAATTGTGAGACGACAAGATGTCAAACGAAACAAAAGGTGACCAGGAGTAGTGTATCTAAAGAGCTGGGGGTTATATGTCCAACACGGGACTTCGGAAAAGAGCGAAAGTTTGCTCTCCTTTTCTCCAAAATTTCATGTGGCGCCTGGTGGTTTGTCACTCAACACTAAACCCAATAAGAAAAAAAGACCGGAGTATATATCAATCACTACAAAGAGATTATCTTAGCTTAGACCGTTCACCACACATATACACATAAGTTCTCCTTTATTCTGCAATCTCATGAACTAACTAAAAATGATAGCAACTGTCAAATGGAAAACTGATCGTGCTCAGGGAAACTTGGTGGTGCACACGTTGACCTTGTGGTCTAAAGAAATTGTGTGTGGAGAAGATCGTTCAATTCAATATACACAGTGGTCCCAAGTGGCCAGTCCGGTCCAAATTGTAGGCGGCTATTAAAGTAGGGCGGTGCCCAGGCAGCCGCCAGATCAGGTCTTGGCACCAGCATGGCCAAAGCCGCCAGATGCCCAGGCAAAGCCGCCAGAATTTCATGCAAAGCCGCCGGATGCCCATGCAAAGCTGCCGGATGCCCAGGCAAAACTGCCAGATGCCCAGGCAAAGCCGCCAGATGCTCAGGCAAAGCTGTCAGTTTCTTGGAAAATGTAAAAATATTAGTGAAACTCTAAGTGGCTTGATATATTTTGTACTAACTCGACAAAAGGGATAAGAGCTTCAAATCCTCCATGTAATAATTCGTACTTTAATCCCTAATTCAATGTCATCAGACAATCACCACCCGCAATATCCATACCTTCTCCATCCATTTGCATTTGATTCTCTTTCTTCTCACAGCCCACCTATTTCTTCTGAGTTATCTAATTTAATAACATTCTCTATACAGACTATTTCTCCAAATTTTTCAAATTCCTCCCTTACCTTACATGATACTATT